GGAACCGGATCCGGCAGACAGCAGAGACAAAGTGCATCACAGAGGTCAAAACAAACGTGTTCATACGCTAAAGTATTGCTGTTTTACACAGCCATGGCAACACAATATACAGGAATTATCTTTATAGGGAATAAATATCAGGATTAGATTCAGTGCTGGACATTTAGGACGTTACTTTGCGGTTTAAAGATGAGATTATTTACAGAAAATAAACAAAAAAACATCCAAACAGCTCAAGCTAAAAGACAGATATTAGACCTGATCTTAGCTCACATTAAGGCACAGTTAGAGATGATCAATCCTTCATCCAACAAGCTACAACCTCAAAGAAATGTTCCTGAAACAAGCATTTTTTTTAACATTACATTTTACAGGGGAATTACATTTCAGCTTAAAATCAATATAATCTCTAGGTCAAATTCAGCAAAATAATCCTTTGTTTAAAATATACATATAAAAATAAATGGGTGCTCAGCTACAGGTTAAATCTTTATATTGTTTAAAAAATTATATTAATCCTTTCCTATTTTAAAACAAACACTTCACAGACAAAAACAGCTTTGCAGTACAAGAAGCAAATATCATCAAATTTCCAATTTTTTTCATCACAAAAACAACTTTCTTACAGCTGAATCACTTCTTTGTAACCAGCATATTTTCTTCTATTTCTAACAATATATGTTTGAACTTTATGTTCTGCAATTCATTGGTTTCCTCTTTTTTTTCAAGGTTACATTCTGTTCTTTTTGCACATAACGGCACGTTTTGCATCGAGTCACTAAAACCTTATCAAAAGAAAAAAAAGAAATAAAGAACCAAACATTTTTCACACCCTCTCACAGAACCACCCTGTTAGGACAAAGATAAACAGTGAACCCTGGTGTGGGTTTTCTAYCACCAGCAGGGGGCAGTGTTTTCAGGTAGAAAGTGATTGTACAGCAGGCAGTTTCATTCACAACCAGGATGTACGTCAGTGAATAAAAGTAGTTCCTCTGTTCATTCAAGGTCATAACAAAAATGCAAACATGAGAAAATAAAACAGATACCTCCTTCATTAGCCTGGAATGGTTCTGAAATCTGTCAATATACAGTTTGGACTGTTTCAATTGGAGTTTTGTGGAAATAGTATCTTACCTGTAGTAGATAGCTCTTTGAATAACCATACTCCAGAGGGGGRAAAAAAACATTAAAATGAGCTTAAGCTATTAGTAAAATGTATTTACTATCACTAAAACATTAGTGGGGGAACTCTGGTTTAATTAGAGGTGTTAACGTGAGGTGCAGGTATGTGGTGGTCTGGCACTTGGGGATTTTGTTAGGGCAGTGCTGGAGCACCTCGTGTGTGGGTTAAGGGCAATTTTCTCATTTTGTTTCTTCAGTATGCTTGATTTATGTTTACTGGAGTAAAATACGGATAATTCTCAGCGTATTTATAGTGAYGACAACATTTTGCTCGCAAAATGTGTGGCGACAATATGGAAACAGTACAGAGGCACACATGTAGCACCTAGCAGGATGGCCGCCATGATTCTTGCCTTGCACTTTCAGTGGCCAGTGCAGAACTTTGTCTTGCTTGGACTATCTGTTAGCTCGTCAATCCAGTCAGAACTAACGTCTAACTGCCTTTTTGTATTGTAAGACTCAGCCTGGCCCAGCCCAGCCTGGCCTTGTCCTACCCAGACTCCGCCTTGATGTGGGTGGGGCTAGAAACGTGCAAATCTTATTTAGTTTAATTTACGACACAATAATAGACTACATCAAACTCAAAGGAAAAGTTTTGAAGACCGTACTGGACCATTCAGAAGTGACGCTTAATATAAAGCGCAAGGCGACAAAGAATGGTATGCTAATGGTAGCTAATATTAGCTTGTTTAGCATGCTAMAGATGAACTTCAGTGAACAAACGATTCAAGTAAAATAAATCTCATCTGTGTGACATGACACCCCTGATCTGTGAACCAATCATTGAGCAACAGTAGCTGACATCATAAAATTGCACCAGGAAGCCCGGCCYGAATACAGCCACGGCTCTCAGGGTTCCAAAGATGGAGGAGGAACTGGACCATAAGGGCTAATGCAAACAGGCTGAACCCCAGTTTGAACCCGGGCCAGGACTTGCAGTGCAAAAACACCATAATTCACCAAAAAATTGGTCATTCAAAGAATCATCTACAGCAGGTAACATATTAACCATTCATAAACTTTCCACAGAAACCTACTTTGAAACATCCAAACTGTTCCTTTATTTTTAAGCTTCTCAACTAGGATTCACTCATATCAAAAAAGAAAAAGAAGTGAGATTAAGACTTAAAAGCAAATTTTAAAAAATATATATATAAATTGTTTCTTTTATCTGGGTAAAGATCAAAAGTTTTGATGTATTTTTTTTAATTCTCAAAAGCAGAAGAAAAGGGGACAGTGGCCTTATTTTATCTTTGTTCATAACTGCTTCCAAACATTACATTTCTAATTAAAATTTGTTAAATTTTGTATCTGACGGCCTTTAAAACCTAGTATAAAATCAATTATATACCTGAACAATACAAAGCTCAAACATTGTGCATTACTAAGTGCACACCTTGCAGTACGTATATTTTGATCCATGTTAATAATTAGTAGCATGTTGACACGTGTTTCTGGTTAGTGAATGAGTTAATCCAGATAAGACAGAACAGTTACTTAAATAATTAACATTCAAAGATAACTAGTTCACATTTACCTAAAAGTTTATCAGCTTCATTCTTATTACGCTGCATTCTGATTTAAGGCAGTGTACGACAGAGCGGACCTCCACTGGAAACATGTTCCTGTACATTTGCATTAAGATGTAAGAGAGCGAATCGCTCGCGGCCTCTAGGTGTCGAGAGCCGCTATAATACAGATGGGTTTTGGTCGTTAATACCTTGTTAAGGCCCACAGAGGAAATTACATTCAACCGTAATTAAATTCGCTGAATTGCAGCAGTTTTATGTATCAGTGTTGGGGTGAAAGTGTGGTCATTTCACTTTTAGTRCAGCGTAGTCCTCTGTGTGAGAGTGAGACTATTGAACCCAAGACGTTTAGTGCAGCGGTTTATGACTCGATCAAAAGTTTGCACAGGTTTTATGACGCGGCTTTACGGCGCTCAGGCGGGCAGCATGAAACACGGGCCCCGGCGGCACCAGCTGTGAGTACATCTGTTCATAATTTATGTTGGTAGAGTGCTGGAATCACTGCAGCATGGTCTAGTTTGTTAAAGTGCAACTTTAAAGAGAAAGTGACGGACACCCAAGAAAAAAAATCTTTTACTTCTTTAGGTTGGGTAGCACCTCTAATAGAACATCTTCCAAACAGCAACAGTTTGGAAGTAGATTGGTCCACATGAACTAGTGATAATTATGTAAATGTTTTCTTTTGCAAGGAGCTAAAATATCTAGAAAAGGCACCAGAGGGCACAAGTGGTGCCTTCATGAGGAGCGTCTTTCAGTCGATCAAAACAGTAGATAAAGGTCGGCAGACACAAAGGACGTCTTGTAGAGTCATTAGACAGCAACTGGTGAAGGTTAATAGGGGTTTGCACCAGGCTGGGTGCTCAGAATGTGGTGACCTGATCTTGGAACTAATGAAGACCAATGAGCACCAATGGTACTAATGGGTTCTGTTGGATATGGATGGGCACCAGTGGGCCCCAATGAGCACCAATGGGTACCAATGAATACAAATGGTCATCAGTGAGTACCAATGGACATGATTGGGCATCAACGAGTACCAATCGATACCAATGCGCACCAATGGGAACCAATGAATACGAATGTGCACCAATGGGAACCAATGAGCACCAATGGGTACCAATGGATATGAATGGGCATCAATGGGTACCAATGGATACCAATGGGTAACAACAGATACAATTGGGCACCAATGGGTACCAATAGATACAAATTGGCACCAATGGGAACTAATGTGCACCAATGGGAACCAGTGAGCATCAATGGGTACCAATAGATATGATTGGGCATCAATGGGTACAATCGATACCAATGGGCACCAGTGGATATGAATAGGCACCATTGGGTACCAATGGGTTCCAGTGGATATGCATGAGCACCAATGGGCCCCAATGAGCACCAATGGATATGAATGGGAATCAATGAGTACCAATGGATATGATTGTGCATCAATTGATACTAATCGATACTAATGGGCACCACTGGATACGAATGTGTACCAATGGATATGAATGGGCATCAATGGATACCAGTGGGTACCAATAGATACAATTGGGCACCAGTGGGTGCCAATGGATACAAATGGGCACCAATGGGAACTAATGAGCAGCAATGGGTACCAACGGATACCAATGGTTATCAATGGATACGAATGAGCACTAGAGGGAACTAATGAGCACCAATAGGAACATGAGGGCATCTATAGACTATGAAGTTTCTGGTCGCCCAAGACAGATCATCCAAAATGATTGTTGTATGTCTGTGCCTACCATCTGAACACAGACCATGGCCTACACATATGATGGCTCCTAAAGTAACTCTGCCAATCCTGTGGAGAGACACWCTAGCATTACATCTGTACCATGGTGTGGGGAGCCATAGGGTCTGAGTCTAGGTCATTTCTAATAGTGAATCAGGGACCCTGGTAGGGTTAGTTATTAAGATGAAATTTTTGGACTACTTGCATCAGTTTCCTCCAATTTCCCCCCAGCTGAACATGTATTGGATCAGTTTGGACTCATGAGGAGCAACAGCATGACTCTGCTGCTTTAACCAGAACCGAGGGTGCCACACCCCACTGACGTGGGACCAGCACTGTGCTCGTATGGCCGACTCCTTTATCTATCTGATTTGATCTGATCTGATCTGATCTTGACAGCCAAGTAATGTTGCACCCATAGTTTCATTTAATTACCACCACTCCGTCTGGGCACTGTTTTAGTCAGTAAATCGAATTACTCAGTAATCATATTCAAGTCAAAGACAAATGTTTTGATGGACAGACGAGACAAAAATGTTTTYTTAGTTTATTTATAGTGACCGTTGTTCTGTAGAACTGGGATTACAGAGGTGTTGGACATTTGTTTTGGAAAAAGCAACATTCATTAGAAGTTTAAAGAAATCAAAGATTCCTCCCTACACCTAGAAATGAGCTGCACTTACAAAAACTACTTCACAAATAAGGATTTAAGTTATTTTAATTGTCACACCTTTGTAAAGTTAAGTTTGATGTACCCCGGCGTATTACACATTTAGTTTTGATCTTTTTTTATCAACCATGAAACAAAGCAATGTCTAAACTCAAAGTCTTGGAATATTTACGTCCTGTCTGTTTACGTACAGACGTGACAGTAATGACCGATGGCTGGATTACTGGGTAAACATTTTGTTTAAACTCTATAAAAGGAAACAACTACAACTGAGCAGATTATGAGCATAGTGCTCCATTTTGTACAGGAATATTTGAAGCCCCAGTTTGAATTAGGGGTCAAAGAACATCAGCTAAACACCAAGAAACTCCGTCTTTGWTTCCACTTAATAACTTGACCTTGTGTTTTGTGAGAAATGTTGAATATCCAGAAGATAAAGAATCAGTAAAATGTCAGTAAAAATTCCTTCTGTGTGACTTGGACTTGCTCTCTGAGGCCTGAACTTGCACATTCTTGAAACAAATTCTAAATCAGCTGCCCTTTTTTAATTTTGCTTGATCTGACAAGCTTTGTTCTTTGTCTTCAGTCAAAAGGGTTGAACTCTTTTGCTTCGGGGCAGCCACTTTCCTCGATTGAACACTTAAAAGTCTGAAATTAGTTGTTTTTTGTAGCCAAACCTTTGACTTTCTGAAATACATTCAAAACAGCACAACAGCTGCAGTGCACGTCTCAATATAAGCTGAATACGTTTTATTAAAAAAAATTTAAAAAAAAAACAGTAAAGACTATGTTTAACTCCTAATATTTTAGTTGTAGTCACAGCTAATGCATCTCAGACCAATACTATACCTCACAGCTTCCTTTATTCATCTCCTGCTTTGGCAGTTATTTTAGGAGGAGTCCAGTGGAGCCCAGTCGTTGGTTCAGAATGGTGAGAGGCACCTCTTGGCTTGGAGCTCAGATTGGATTGCAGCCAAAGACGTGAAAACAATGAAGAACGTTTCAGATGTTGGTCTCCCGTTGCATGGACTCCTCGTCTTTCTGACTTTTGTCGACCAGCTCCTCCGAGGCCACGCCGTCCGCCTCATTGTCGCCCYGAACTCGGTCGGGATCCTCCGTTTCAGTCCGTTTGTACATCTCCGCCTGCTTGCGCTCGCGATCCAGGAGTCTGTAGTTGATGAAGTTCCCGATGAAGAGCCAAATGCTGGCCAGGATCACCACGCCACCGCAGCAGAAATACATGTACTTGTAATTTTTCGTGATGTCGACCAGTTTTCCTGAAAGACAAATCGGAGTTTAAAACCTTTATTTTCGGGTCTTGTTGCGTAGCGAAGGCGAGGCCGTACCTGCTAACGGTGGACCGATGAGAACTGGGCAGCACTCGACGATGGTCGTGAGCCCCACGGCGCTGGAGAACCTCGGGGCTCCGACCAGGTCCATCAGCGTCTCGAACAGCACCGAGCTCACCATGCCAAAGGCGAAGCCGAAGAACACGGCGTACACCACCAGGCCGGTGTAGCTGTTCGCCAGCGGGCAGAGCATGTGGCACACGCCGTTGTACAAAACAGCAAAGCTGAAGAAGTACTGGATCCTGGGCCGGACCCAGCGCGAGTTCGCCAGGAGCCCCATGGAGGGCCTGGCAACCATGTCGACGAATGCCAGGATGGAGAGCAAGAAGGCGGCGGAGTACTCGTCCACACCCATGTCTTTGGCGTACGCGGCGAGGAAAACGATGGGCGCGAAGAAACCCAGGAACATGATACAGTTCCCCGACAGGTAGATGAGGAAGCCGCGATGCTTGAAGAGCGACAAGTCCAGGTACTTGTTGACCAGCTGCCAGGCGCTGCGCTTCTCCGTCGTGGTCGTGATGGCCGCCAGCGCCTCTTCCTTCTTGGCTTGGCCCGGAGGCGGTCCCAGTGGCCTCATGAGGGACCCGGCCACGCAGCAGTTCAGGAGCAGGCCCCCCAGGATGAGGAAGCTGCCCCTCCAGCCAAACTGATTGAAGAGGTACTGGTTCAGGGGAGCCAGGGTGCTGAGGAAGACCGGGCTGCCGGCCATGGCTAGTCCGTTAGCGATGGGACGCTTCTTGAAGAAGTATTTGCCGATCATGGTCAGAGCTGGCTGCAGGTTGAAGGCCAGTCCAAGTCCTACGATAAAAGAAGAGATAAAACTTAAGATCCTTAAGATCATTTTTACTGAAATAAGTCAAATTAAATTCGCAAAGTGCTGCCAAACAAGAGAAAAGATCCTGTAAACGTTTTATTGTCAACTAACCAATGTTATGTTGCTATAGTTGTGACTTTGTAAATCTACTCTCTTTATTGGTAATGAACTGATATCATACTGTATAAATGCTAATAATTRAATATATGTATCTATAGAGCTGGGCCATATGGCCTAAAATCAATATCATGATATATTGACAGTTCACCTCGACAACGATAAATGCATGATAACTCTTACCACCCCCACCACACAGTCATAACACTATACACTGTGTCCATGTTCTTAATCAAAGTTCACAGTTTAGATTTTGAACAGCTTTTCTGTGGTTTGTATTTGTCATTTTAGTGTTAAGGTGTACTCATTTATTCATTTATCTAAAAAAAAACAAATTCTATATTCAACTAGAAGCACTCAGAGAGTGCAAACCTCCGCCAAGACCAATTTCCTCCATCCTGTAAGAGTTAATGCACAAAAGCAGAGAGGGAAACACATTTGCCCAATAAGTTCTGACGTAGTGAACATTTAAGCAGCAGTATGCAYRGGGTTTCTTCTCGGTGGAGTCCAATGTGAAAAAGAAAAAATAAAAGTCAAGACTTGTCATCCGACGTTATTCATGGTCAAAGTGGTGTGGGATTAAGCTCCTAAGTTTTCATCAGTCACATTTCACCATGTAAAACATCTGTTTTATCTCCTTGTATGAGTTTGTAATGGTTTGACTCTCTTTATAAAGTGCTTCCTGGCTCCCCCCGTCTCCAAACTTTGAGGCCCGGCAGCTCTCTGTTTACAAGCCTAGTAGAGACAAACTGTTTTGATTGGTTGTTTCGGAAATGTGGTGTGTTTGAGGAAATGGGAGAAATAAGTTTCATGGTGCAGTCACGCACTTCCTGGTCACAAAACGTTCTGTAAATGTGCATATTTTGGCAAATATTATTCATCATTAAATCTGGTTTTAGCATTACTTTTATAAAGTTTGAAATCCGTGCTGTCCAATCCAGCTCACTGTTTTTCACAGAAGCCCTGTGAAAGCATCACAGCTTTGCCGATCTCAGAGTGTTAAAAGAAAAAAAATTCCTGTATCCGCATCGTGATCCGGAACATCACCAAAATTTAAAGGTGTGTTCCTTGGCCCAGTACACACATGTGGTAAAAATGTCATGACAATCTGTCCACAAGTTTTTGAGTAATGTTGTCCACAGACAGAAAGAACGACAGAACGACAGACAGACATATGYGACCGAAAACATTACCTCGCTCTTGGCTGAGGTAACAAAAAAATTTTCAATAGAGGTTTAACTTCTTCTTGAGCAACAAATCTTACACTATACCATTTTATATTTCTCCAACAGATTAACCTTTATCATTCTCTTAAATATACATGCTGATCTGGCCTTTTTAATGTCATCTTCCAGATTATTCCATAATTTTATTCCCTGGACTGTAGCACTCCGTCCCCTCAAGCTGGTTCGAACTTTAGGTTTGACAAACATTTCTATCTCTTTAAGATTGTAACAACTCTCTCTTTTAGCAAAAAGTAATTGGATGTTCGAAAGTAATGTGTTTTTAATATATTTAATAAAAACACTTTTGTCAAGACTTGAGTCAGATATAGTCATACAAATATTTAACCATCTTCATAACATTTCAGTGCAAACACATTATGAATTATTATTTTATATTTAAAAAATATACCAAATATCTTTTTGTCCTGCACAAAATAACTTAAATACATTTTTTTAGTTAGACTGACTGATTTCTCTATTAAATAACTATTTCTTTCAAAAAGATGATATTATTTTAGAGCTCATGTAATCATTGAATACTATTTATTCTTCATATTTGATCATTTATTGAATCACAGAGCAGTTCAGTCACAGTATGGTTCTTTTTGATACTGTATAACTATCATTAGATTGTGTAGTGAAACTGAAACTCTGAACTGTACTTTGGATTGCTCCACATCATTTACAGTAGAGCTCATAAATAAATGTTTTCTGTTTAACGACCCCTCAGGATGTAACCAACACACAGAATCTACACACAAAGCACTGCACAATAAAGAGTTTGATTATAGAACAGGTTTGCTGCTCCCACAGTTTAATTTTTAACCTCTGGTTAAAGGTAAACCCACTGCAGAAGTGCTTCTGTGTAGTGAAACAGACTGACCTCCAATGACTCCGATGCAGATGTACAGCTGCACCACGTTGGTGCAGAACGAAGCTAAGACCATGCCGGCAGAACAAAGGCAGCCCCCCATCATGACGATGGGCCTGCAGCCGTACGTGTTGACCAAAATACTGCTGATGGGACCTGAAATGAAGAGAATATTGTTCCTCCATTTAGTGTCACTTATTCCAACATTCTGTAAGTTTGATACAGGTTTAATTAGTTTTACACTTGAAATTTGTTCATTAATAAAAGTAGCTATATTGTCATAAAAATATGAACATATTTTACTTTTACTGCAAACTGGAACTAAACTGTTTCAGTTTTACACAGTAAACTTTCTGCCTCCTTAAAAACTACTTGATTTAGAAAAGTTACATTATATAAATATATTTGAAAGTTTATTAAATTAATCCGAATTCTTTGGATTAAATTGACTTCAAGCTGTTTAAAACAACAGCACAGCTAAATTAGAGGATTTGCATTTTCTGCTAAAACGCAGCATGAAATTAATGCTAAAAGGTTTTTGCAGAAAAAAATGCACAATTTATTTTAAAATAGCCAAAAAAGGCTGAAATTAGTAGAAAAGTAAGTGAGTAAGTAAGTAAGAAAGTAAGTAAGTAAGTAAGTAAGTACCGGGTAAGTAAGTAAGTAAGTAAGTAAGTAAGTAAGTAAGTAAGTCAGTAAGTAAATCAGTCAGTCAGTCAGTCAGTCAGTAAGAAAATAAGTAAGTAAGTAAGTAAGTAAGTCAGTAAGTCAGTCAGTCAGTCAGTCAGTCAGTAAGAAAATAAGTAAGTAAGT